AAACAGATCAGGTTTGAGAAATAAAAGCCATGCACTTTGCTGCTTATTTAACTCTGCTCCCTTTGATAAGGTGTTCCCTCAGGCTACTTCTACAGCAACACTGAATAGGAAGCAAAAGGAATTTGAAACATCCAAACTAGCAGCTCGATATGCAACTCAGTATGACAATTCTGCAATCTGAGGGCTCTCACCTTTTACACTTGGAGTCTTTCACAGTCTTCCTGAATGTGGTAGGCTGACCAAATTTAATGAGTAAGAGAGCCTGGGTTTTAGTCATTTTGAGCTAAAAGCTGCGCTTGCACAGCACTACAGTAGTGAAGGTGGAGCCTTGCCCAGTACTTCTTCAGTAGCAAACACCTGATTTACTCTGCATGCCTACTGAGGGTGATTTATTCTGCATTTGTTATGCATTCTGAATGCTTCTTTTTTTTTTGTGTGTGTTCACGTTTTTAAGAGCTGCAGTGGTAGATGTATCCTTAGCTATATGTATGACTCCTTCTTTAGAAAAAAAGCCAGAGCTGACAATATCCATCAGTGGTTAATTTCCTTAAGTAACCAGAGTCAAGATCATTTGTGTCTTCCACAGTATTCAGTTCAGTTGATAAATACAGCAGTGGGTGCATGTTTTTTCTGCCTGCATTTTAGGATGGGCCTCCCTACTCTAGATACAGATCTGTCAGTCTTCTTTCATATATCCAAAGAGACAGGAAGGAAACTTCATTTTCTAAACCACTTTAAACATTTATGGCATAGCATGCAGCAAAACCATAATAGCCCTTTGACAAAATACAAAATGGAAATCATCTAAACAAGAGAGAAGCAACAAAACAGAAACTAATTAACTGGAGAAGTAAGCCTGGAGCAAGGAGGAGGAGAGCACAGTTTATTCTTTTATAATTTTACTGCAAGGTCAAAAGCTCAGCTGTTCTGGGTGGTGACTCAAACCAGGTGGGAGTGCACCAGATCATGACCAAAGGCTTCTTAGACCAAAAATTAACTTTGCAAGTTAAAAATGGACAAAACATTAAAAAAAAAAAGAGAAGTGGAGGAAAATAACAGATTCCTGGTGTAGGCGACAAGCTCAGCCGAAGAAAAAAAACATGGATATGTTCCCTGAAAACCTGCAAGATAGAAGGCTCTCTAAACTTCTGTTACCAAGCAAAGCATCTGATCATGGGGATTTGGCAGAGTTTACTGAAACACAGCAGTGGATGGGATGATAGCACATAGGAAGCATGGGAAGAAAGACTCATCTTGTCACCGGAAAGTGCAAGATCAGATTACAGAACCCATGAAGGGTATCAGTGGGAGATGTAAGAAACCCGGTGCAATCACAGAAAGTGCTACTCTTCTCAAAACCAAAAAAAATAATGTTTGAGCCAGATCATAAGAGATTGAGTTCAGGCTATTCAAACAACCAAGAAAACCTGAACATAGTTATTAAGAGAATAGTATCACCTCCTTGGTATGGTAAAAACAGGTATGAATGCAACTAGTTGTCTGAAGTCTTCATTGTGGTGAAATACATTATTAATCCAAATCTGACAAGAGAAAACTAGGACTTGATATGAGAACACCTTCCCTTGGCTTTTGTTTGCATTCTACTGTGGTAAAGACCTCAGGTTATTAAGAATCAAGACCTAAGCCACCATTCAGGAATATGGTTCCTTCAACTGTACCAATATTTAGTTTTGTTTCTTTGCCTACTTAATGTCTTCATTTATCCCTCTATTTCAGAGAAGCATCAAGACCCATGTTTGAACATGCCTCTTCCATGATATTGTGAGTACTGCAGTCTTGGAAACACCGAGTGAGATATTAAGCAACCAAAGTAACATTAAGAGAGAAAGTAGAATACTGCTTTCCAAGAAACCTATATTTTATTTCACAGCAACATGGTGCATCCATTTAGCATTGACAAAAGACAAAAAGCTGTTCTGTGACACATTTCAGTAAAAGATGATTGTAATACTTGAATACCGTCTTTTAATTAAGAAACCTCCTAAAGTGCCATAATATACAAGTGCAACATTGTTACTGTTCTGCTCTGGGGTATGCTATTAGGGAAGTAATGGCAGTGAAATTAGGTAAAAAATGTGTCCTTAGTGCTTTAAAGTTGGCAAATCTTATCTAAAAAGATACGGTTCAAATCCATGAAAATGCACTGGAACGCACAAGTATGCAAGTCTGGAAGGCATACAGAGTATTGGCAATAACCTAGAAAATGCTTTTGTGTACAGTGCGAATAATAGTCTTCTATAGAATTGACTGAAAGGACTCAGTGCACGTAGGCATTTTTCATTTTAAGTGCACTATAGCTGCAAAGAACAGACATGCCGTACTGAAGATTCCTAATATAATATGCTAGAATTTTGCCAGAAGAAAGAGCGATAGTTCCTGCATCCTGGATTTCAAGAGGGGAGGAAAACTCCTTAGCTCGATGGAAGCTATAAATATCACAGAAACATGTAACTATTCTTAAGTTCCATTGGTTTTTTTTTCCTCCAATGAAGAGGCTAAAAATTTATGTCACTATCCATGACATAAAAGGTGTCCCAGATATCAGCACCTGACAAATATAATGAGAAAAAAATATCATGTTTCAGAGATTATCAATTTAAAAACAAAAGGAACATTTTAAGCATTGATCAGAACAAGTAGCAAATTAAGTAACTTCCTGCTTTCAAGGTCTATTCTGAGAGGCTGGTGGTTGTTAGTGTTGCTGAACATGAAAGTGGTGGCCGGGACACTGTTAGGCCATGAAGAAGTTGAGATGCAGGAGGTAAAATGAGAGAAGGCACATGAAAGATGAAACTGCGCAGACAAAGCATTTCTCCTGAGAAACTGGACTAAATTGACAGATTGAGTGCACAGTAAGGGACAGACAAGTAGCTTTTATGCAAATTAGTGTGTTTCACTTGTCTTTTGATAGAACAGCACAACAAGTACTAGTACTTTGGGGCTAAAAACTAGCATGTTTTTCAGCATGTCAGTGTCCCAAACATGCAATCACACAACACCTGCAGAGAGAGGGAAAAACTGCTTCCGTACCACTTGTCTGGTTTATCAGTTTGCTCACACTGACAGTACATGCTTTGCTACATGTCAGAGAGAAAAAAAAACCAACACCATTCCTGCACTTACTCAGATGTATATGTATCTGATTAAGTACTCCACTTACTATAACTGTGCATGGCAGAACAACTGCTGTACAACATAACACAGCAAAATGAGCTGAGTAACTGCAGGGGAAGGACAACTAAGCGCCTATTGTCAAGCATGCCAAAAAGGGCCTACAACTCTTTTCATCTGAGATGTGTCCTGAAGAATTTTGGCACTTCATAATAAGCAAGGCTCCTACAACATTTGAAAGGCAGATTTCAGGAACTAGGTCAATGCTCAGCAATGTGCTGTTTCTATCTTAAACATAGGAATGGTTTTAATTTTCTAAGCAAATGCACACCACCAGATGGGCAGAAACATACAAAAATGGGTTGTTTCCCTTTTCTCCACTTTTGACGTACAATCTCCACCCTTTCCATGAGTCATGACCCACAGATCACTACATGCTGTATTAGCATACCATGCATTTCTTGGGCAATAACTGTATCACAAAGCTTGAGTCAAGATTTTATAGGGACTGAGCCTTAGGATTCTTGTAAACAAACAGAATATGCCATTTTCTATTTCAAAGGTTTTTAACAGTCATACCTTATTTTAACTGAAATATATGTTCCAAAAACTAGGCAAACAACTTTGGCTATATATGGATGCAGGCAGCGTTTTAAAGGACTGCATGGTGTTCAAGCAACAGGAGGGGATTGCAGCTTCCCATGTTAGTATCTCAAAGTTCATCTCCAACAACTCTATTTGACTAAGAGTGAGATAAAGTTGTATTCATTTGTTAGAAATGTTAATGGTAACACTTTAATATTTGCGTTGCCACTCAAGGATTATTAGTCTGGCATTCAGGCTTTATGCAATGACAACCACTAACATTAGATTGCTTTTTTAATCCTTTGGCTTCCCTAAAGCCACATATTATCATCTGAACATAAAAATGTGTGTTTGTACTATTCACTCTGGGATTCTCTTGGTCACTGTAATTTCAACATATCCTTTAGTAGTAACGGGGCTGCTCTTTTCCATGTATTTGCAAGATGGCTGTCCTTTCTACATATTCATTTAGCTTGATCTGGATGCCATGCTATACAATGATTTTTCTCACACTCCTAACCATATTCCTGGTTAATTCCACTTTCATGCAGGCAGACTTTGTCCGAACAGCATTGGATTCGGGAACATACTCTAAAAGTACTTTATATGTATATGAGTATATGAAGCCCAAGAATATTTCTGTACTTTGTCTGCCATACATATGCTTTGAAATGTTCTTTTATCCAACTGTTTGCTATGTACTTTTTCACACAACAGCCATTCTGACTTCTATTTTTTAAAAAAAGTATTTATGGTATGAGTGCATCACTTCACTCACCTAAGGTTTAATCTAAGAATTAACAAAACCATTAAGGCTGAAATCCTTAATTAAATTAAGGTGGAGAAGGACAGGATTTCATTCTGGACTTGTTAACAGAATCATTTCCTTCCTTCATCATTGTCCAGTCACACCTGAGGGCAGGCCTTAAGCAATACAAGAGTCAGGACATTTACAGATCTCCACTCAAAAATGACATTTCAGAATGATAGCTTAGGTCCTCCTTACCCTTCCCTTCCTTTCTGCTCCTCTTCAATTCAAACAAATAAAGGCTCTTTCCAAAGATTTCAGAGAGATTTGATCTTAAGGACAGGAAAATATCTGTTTGACAACACCCTAGAACAGACATTTTTTTGTCCCCACTAAGGCAGGATGTTAGTTAATTCTTTAATTCTCACTGAGCTTGGCCAAACAGCACTGATTTTAACAGCCATAAGAAAATCAGAAAATGTGAATGATGTAGTTAATTATATGAAAACAAAGCAGTGCCAATATTCATACTTACAGGCTGAGGCTGTTCTGCAATACAGCAGTTGAAACACAACCAAAACTCACTCATTGTTTACAGTCTGAAGTGGGAACACAGATGAAAAGCAGGACTCCACCTCTGTAAATTTGTCTCCGTGTAGTAAGTTCTTTAAATAGTTTTACTTCTAATGGTTCCAATGTGAAAATCTTCTCTCTGTTGACCTCTTCTCCAAAGACAAGTCAGTCCCAGGACAAACAATTTGAAGGCAAAAAGTTATTTTAGAGTCTTCTTTCAGAAGGTTGGTCCCAGCACCACAGAAATGTTACGTATGCTTCTTTGGTCCCTAGCGTTACATGAACCTGAAAACAGAAGTACATTACATCAAAAAGAAAGAATATACAGAATCTCATGCTCCCAGACAGCCACCCACACCAGTGATTTCTTGATAATATCTTGAACCACAGACTGAAGAGACACTAGCAAACAAATCACATGCTTATTTCCACAGTGACTGCCAAAAATGGCATATACCAGAAATCCATGAGACTTGCATTCCAGCTTTGGTAAGATGCAGTGATATCAAGAACTAGCATCCAATCTTTTGGCAGCCATCTCTATTTGGTCTGTTTCTAACTTTCAAATGTCATTTTAGAAAGTGACAATTGCCCATATACTGCTTTAACTTCTTAGGGAATTGTATCTATTGACACTTTGTGTTTCTCAACAGCAATGTTCCCAGTCCATTACAGCACAAAGTTTAAATAGTATTAAACCCCAACCCTGTCGAACAGCTGTCAAGCAAAGGTCTGCTTTTCTAAATGTTGAGGAAACAAGTACATTTCTGTATATGGAAAATTTGCAAAATAGTTGGGCTTGGTCAACTCAAAGTATTTTGTTTCCACTCTCTCTACCCTCCTGCTTCACATACTTCAAAATAGGACTTTACTTGTAGAGTTTGAAACTCTTTCCTTAAACTTCTGAAATTCCTCATGTGGAACAACTGAGGCTACAGATTCCAGCCATTCCTTTGCTAAAATAATGTTTATTGGTTAATCTCCAACCTGCTTTTTTTCACTAAGAGTGCAAAAAAATTCTTGTGAGATTTCACCCTGGTTATTTATCTTGCCATGTATCATAAATATTACTTGCAGAGAAAGTGAGATAATGAGTATGCAGAAGTTTTTACATGCACACTCCTTAATAATTCTATATGTGGCAGCACCTTCATTCATAGAAATGTGTGCATAACTGTGTGTCATTATTTGTATGCTATTCCTCAAAGTAAGTATGAAGCAATTTGGAGATACATAAACTACATATATACATATATGTACATACACACACATTCTGTGGCAGAGCAGTCCCACTTAGCTACTGCCTTGATCAATTCTCTACATGCCAAGCACATAAGCAATAAGGTCCCCTCATTTACTACATACATGCAGACTTATTGTACTGTGCAAGTACAGTACTTACTGTACTAGCCAGGTACTTTCCAGGACTGTTGGCTACAATGCACACATACAGAAATACAGTAGCCCCCTTCCCATACTAAGTCCAAAGCCTCTGGAAAGCTTTCCCACTTCTTACCTTTTAAGGGACTGACCAAGGCTCTTCAAGAAATAAATGCATGCTGCAGTAACACCATTTAAGTAGCAAAACCCCAGCAAAAGTACTTGTCTCTGCTAGCTTTGAAAAAGCTAGTGGTAGTGTTTAAATTAAGTATATATGCCTGTTTGTGGCATTTTTTGCCTAAAGATCAGAATAGGAAGTGGGGAAAAAATGATTTGCTAGCTTTTCCTATCACTGATACCATATAGAGCAAAGCAATTTTATTAAACAGAACACCTTGAGGGCAAGAAAAAAAACTAAACAAGAAAAACAAAAAATATCCTTCTACATGACCTTTCTTTTGTCAGACACTTCAAAAAATGTCTTAGTATAGTGCTAATATGAAATATTTTCACTATAATATTTTTACTATATAAGAGAAGATATTTTTTCCACCTCAAAGATGATCATCTAAATCCCATGTATGTGTCAAGAAGCTGCAATAAAACATGGGAATTATCAACCAACAGTATGGAATCCAAGAATGAAAATAACTTTAAGAGTCTCTTAGGAATTTCTCACTTCATAACTAGATAATGTCACATCTTTTTCTGAATTATTCTGGTTACTGAAAGTTTGGTCAACTTTAAATAGCAAGAGCTGGACTAATGTCCAGCTGTTCTCGGTAGAAAAAAGAAAATACAGTCTCAGAATTTGCATGCTACATAATTATTTTCCAAACTTGATACATTGCAGTGGGCTTCTCTTGCTGTGCGAGTGACCCAATATTCTGATTTGCAGCTCCTGAAATTCTGACACTCATATTATTGCTTCCTCACAATCTTTTTTTGACAAAGTCCAGATTTAACACATCAATTTCTTGTTCTCACAAAGGGTTAACTTCCATCCTGCTGTTACACCGATGTACATGGAAAGAGCAGGGAAATTCCTCTGTTGATCAGTCTCCTCATTTGCTCACTCATAGCTGGCACACTCCTCCAAGCTTACTGCAGCATTTAGCACCTGTGTTGAGCTGAAGCCCTGGGAACAAACCCAAAGGGCTTGTGCATGCTCCTGTGAGCCAGGAAGGCTCTTCCTGGTTACAATACCCAAGGGTGCAGAAGACTTTCCCCACCCAGCCATTCTCAGCACGAAGGAATTGTGCCCTCCAGGACAGAGTTCTCTTTGAAACTGACTCCCCTCCTTAAATCAAAAGCTGCTGAATGACAAGGCCAAGATAGAGATCATCAATAATAGTCTCTGATAACGCGTTCATTCTTAAAAATGTATTTTAACTTTTATAGCCTGTATAGTGTCACATTTGCCTTTAATTTCATGGTTCTGTGATCAGTACCAAGCAGTTTTTTGATCTGTTGTCTTTTCATTAAAAAAAATGGTGGTGGGAGGATGTATCTGTAAGCCTGCAGAAAGCCGACAGTAACTGCACCTCTTAAAAGGCAAACAAAAGCTTGGCAGTATTTGTTAGAGCACTGGAATTTTATACACCCCCACTCTGCTGAATAAATTATTTTTACGGTGGCCAAGTTAATATAAAAGATGATCAGGTATGCTGCTGCACCAAAATGGAAAGAAAAAGCAATTAAACCAAAGACAAAAAGGTGACGTGAAGAGCAACACTAGGACTTCTCTTAGACTGCTGGTTACTTGTTTAAAGAACAAGCTGAAACAGGAAAATTCTGCTGTTCTTTTCCAAATTATTGATTATAAAGAAAGAAAGAAAAAGCACCATACTGACCTACAGCTACCAATCAGGTAATTAAGTAGTATCAGCCCACTAGCAATCTCATGAGAAAGTGTTCCTGCACAGCCTGGACAGCACCCCAAACCTAGCTGCAACTAATGAGATCCCAACACATGTGCAATACTTCACACCTACTTCTTTTTGTCATAGGATCAAGCTTTTAATGTGGCACTGTTCACAAGTGTTGCTGCATTCGTCTGTGTAGACTTGCCAGATTAAGAGGACAACAGAGGCTGAAGAACACAGTTCAGTACAACATCTTTGTCACTCTGTTTTTGTGCTTTACACTCCTTATGGTGCTCAGAGCGGCAAAACACCATACTGCTTATGTCAAAAAGACAAAGCACTTATTCTGTCCGTTCTGTTAATCAGCATGATAAATGGTACAACACCTATTTGCTTTTCCCCATTGAAACTTTCTGAACTCTGAATGCAGCTTATTTTAGAGTGTATGATTCACATTCCAAGAACACACAGGACTATCATGCTGAACAACTTTGACACATGTTAAGGCTTTTATACCTTATGTATGCTTTAATCACTATGAAGAAATGAAGATATTAAAAAGGATACATTGTTTAAAATTTTAAGTGAAAACCAGTAAGGTAATTTTCATTACTCAGAAGTTTATTCCAGAGTAGCTGATCTAATGCAAAACTACTGCTTATTGTTAAATACCATAATAAAGGCACCAAGTGCAAACAGTGCATTAATGGATAGTAGGGGTGGAACACAAGCACATTCTCTTACAGTATCAGCATTTTTTCTTATTAAAGCAGTATTAACTTTTGTGCAGGAAATAAACAGCAGGAAAGGAAGAAGGGTAAAAAAAAGAAATAAATATCCCATCCAAGATCTTCACATTTACTGGCAAAAAGCAGGCTACAGAGCGTTTACCTTAGCTGATCCAAACAGGAATATGCTGCATGCTGTTAAGGGTCAGTTAGAATAAAGCTACTTATTAATTATAGAGCTTAAGAACAGCCCATTGGTTTTAAAAAAAAAAAATAAAAATGTACAAAGTTCCTTTTAAGGGTGAACCCTCTATATCCTTTGCCTGCACACTGTTCACTATGGCTTCAAACAGGAAGTGTGGTAACAACGCTCTGACAATTACATGATGCAAATAAAACCACAGGAAGAGAAAGAAAACGAGTGCAGGTGTTAACATCTGAATTTAACTAGATTCGCTCTACACTCAGACTAGTATTTAGGCAAAAGGGGGGGGTGTAAAAAAAAAAAAGTGAAGCATGCACGAAGTCATTACCAAGTGTGCCATGTTGTAATATGACATGACGTGATGTACTATGACATGCACATGTATGCACAAAGTCATGACCAGGACTACTACTAGTTTTTTAGTCTCAAGTAGTTTATAAGAAAGACATTTACAATTCTTCTTTATATGGAAGTATAATTCCATAAAAGACACCCCTTTCTTGCCTTAAAGCCTCTGAACAGCTATAATTTGTTTCAATCCTGCAAGCTGTAAGTAGAAAATTATCATTTCGGGATGTATTTTTAAGACTTCTTTCATATATTCATATTTTTCACTTTAAATCTCTATTGTAAGGGTACTATTTCCTATTGCTGCTTAGCAGATACAGTCAAGTGGCAGCAAAAAATGAGGGTGGGAGGGGATTAAGGTGTGTCCAGACCAACAAAGAGGTTGCACTGTTACACACTTCCACACACTTATAGCTGTAGCAATCGGAGGATGCTCTCCAGCTCTCAAAGGAAGTGAGAAGTTTTTACTCCCTTGCCATCTTCTGAAATA